GCAAAGTCCACCAAATCTTCCTGTGCTGGTCCTGGGCCCTTCCCCATGTGTCCAGGGCCAGAGTGTAACCCTTCCCGTGGGATGGGCTCTCAAAGTCCCTTCTTACACCAGGGAAAAATGCTGATCCACTACCAGAGGCTCCCTGAAGTGCAGAGGCCTCCTTATTGGCATCCATGTTCAGGGGTCTGGATCAGTCTTGTGTTGGCCTCCCAGACAGTATCTGGGGTCGATGTGCTCTCCCTTGTTCAGGCCAACTGTTCCTGTGGATTTCTCCAACCTGGTACAGACCCCTTCGATCTCAGCTCCAAGATCTTACTAGAATAATATTTATTGTAGTTTGCCATTTTAAATTTAAAATTTAAATTGCAATTTAAAATTTGCAATTTTAATATATTGAGACTTTTTGCTTACTCTATATTCTTTTAAAATTCACCTTTTATTAAGTTCTGGTACACATTCATCAAAACTGCTGTGGTATTACCAGGCTTTCTGTGTAGGTTAGATGTCCCCATTTCTTATTCTTTAGAACTGCCACTGGTGGCTTTCAGATATTCAGGTATTTTTAGATCTTTGAGATCTTGTCTTTGGATGTTTACCTTCGTGCCTCCATATGGCATGCTTATAGTGCTATTTTTAATTTTCCACTTGGGGAAAATTAAAATTCCAGTAGTGAGGATTTAGCATTTGTTCTCTTCCCCCATCTCCTGTCTTCAACACATGTGCATGCATACGTGTACCCGGAGCCGTTTATGAGACTTTTTTAGGCTGTTTACCAGTCCCAACAGTTTTGACAAAATTGTGTTTAGGTCCTAAACCAAGCAGACTGTGTGCTAAAGGGTATTATGAGTGCAATCCCTGTCTTTTTATTTATTTATTTGCTTTATTTGTTTATTTGTTTGTTTATTTATTTTGTTTTTCCAGACAGGGTTTCTCTGTGGCTTTGGAGGCTGTCCTGGCACTCACTCTTTAGACCACGCTGGCCTCGAACTCACAGAGATCCACCTGCCTCTGTCTCCCGAGTGCTGGGATTAAAGGCATGCACCACCACTGCTGGCTTCCCTGTCCTTTTTTTTTTTTTTTTTAAAGATAGTTTCTTATTATGTAGCCAGGTTGCCCTGGAACTCCCTATGGAGCATAGGCTTATTGGTTTTGAATTCAATATCTTCTTGCCTCAACTTCTTGAATGCTGGGATTACAGGCATGTACCTCATGGTTGCAACTCCTATCATAATATGGTTATAGAAAAATTTAGTCTTTGATTACATGTGGCTGAAAATTGTTTCACCTTAAAACTTTAAAGATATTACTTCATCCCCCCCCCCAGCTAATTCCAAAATTTATATTGAGAAATTTAAAGTCACTCTGATTTTTTTGTTTGTTACTGAGACAGGATCTCACTACGTAGCTCTGCCTGGCCTAGAACTTGCTGTGTAGACCAGGCTGACCTTGAACTCACAGAATCCACCTGCCTCTGCCTCCCAGTGCTGGGATTAAAGGCATGCACCATCATTCTAGGTTTTAAATCTTTTTGGAAGATTTCGAAATCTTCTCTGTGACCTCAGAATTTTGAAATTTCATGACATACCTTCTATTCTTTTGTTCATTTTGGTAGTTTCTTTCAAGGAAACTTACTCTTAGATTCAGACTTTACTTGAAATTTTTCTTCTTTTCCTTTTCTTGTCCAGTTTGATTCTCTTTTTGTAAAACCCATTATCCATAAATTGGCTCCTGGGCCAGTCCTCTTGTCCTTGTTTTTTGTTTGTTGTTTAAGGCTTAATCTCAGGGTCCTGTATAGTTCAGGCTGGATTTGAACTTATCACATAGCTGAGGATGACTTTTCTAGTTTTTCTGCCTCCATTTCTTGGGGTTAGACATGTGTCACAACACTTGGAGTCATCCCCTGGCCCCCTAAACTTTTTACACTGTGTTCTATATTCTGGAATTTCTTCAAGTTTTACATTTTTAATGCTCAAGCATTTCTTTCTTTTTCTTTTTTTTTCTTTTCTTTTCTTTTTTTTTTTTTTTTTTTAAGATGGGGCACAGTAGGCAATTCAGGCTTACTTCAGTCTTGTTATGTAGCCTCGGTGGGCCTTGACCTCAGAAAGATATACCTGCCTCTGCCTCTGTCTCTGCCTTTTGAATGCTGGGATTAAAGGTGTGTATCATCGCTCCCCACCCTAGCAAGGGTTCTAGTTTTGGGTTACACTCCTAGTTTTATTTAGTACATTTTTTTTTTTTTTTGTGGTGGCAGCATTTTAACTATGCCGTTAAAAACTATTTTTTTTAAAACAATCTCATTATGTTGTGTCTTTGTGAAGGTGTAGAATTGGAATGAAATTTGGCTTTAATACAGAAGCTTTATTATAAGCTCCCATGATGCTTCTTTATTAGCTGTGAAACTAATATAATAGTCATATTTCTTCCTCTCCAGATGTCTTTGAAATGGGGGAAATTTAACTACATCAGATAAATCCTGTTGGGACATTGTATGCGATGTGAACTTAAATTTTAAGGTTTTATGACCTGTTTGTAGGTATTCTCAGCCAGAGGGAGAAATAATTTTTAGAATAAGAGTTATTTTTAAAAAATACAAGTTGTATTTGCTTTTCTTTTTCTGGACTGACTGCTCAGAATGGTTTTTACATATACATATATAGGGCTTTTAAAAGATGTTTGCTTTATGTGAGTGCTCACACACATGCACGTTGTGGAGTCATGTGAACTCATGTGGATGTCAGAGTATAATGTGCAGGGTTCCAGAGATGCAACTCAGGTTGTGAGGCTTAAAAAATATGGGCTACTGCTGGGTGTGGTGGTGCATACCTTTAATCTAAGCACTTGGGAAGCAGAAGCAGGTGGATCTCAGGAAGTGGAATAAGATTCAGCATTGCCTTTCTGGGTCTGGATTACCTCACTCAGGATGGTTTTTCTAGTTCTGTGCCTTTGCCTGCAAATTTCAAGATGTCATTGTTTTTTAACACTGAGTAGTACTTCATTGTGTAAATATACCATGTATATTTCTTTATCCATTCTTTGGTTGACGGACATCTAGGCTGTTTTCATGTTCTGGCTATTATGAATAATGCTGCTATGAACATAGTTTAGCAAATGTCCTTGTGGTATGAGTGTGCATCCTTTGGGAATATGTCCGAACACGGTATGTACTCACTCATAAGTGGATATTAGACATAAAGCAAAGGATAACCAGCTTATATTCTACAACCTCAGAGAAGCTAGGTAACAAGGAGAACCCTAAGAGAGACATACATGGATCCCCGAAACCTGGCACTAGGGAAATTCCCAGGAACCCACAAGGATGACCCCAGCTAGGATTCTAAGCAATAGTGGAGAGGGTGTCTGAACTGGCCTTCCCCTGTAGCCAGATTGATGACTACCCTAATTGTCATCATAGAACCTTCATCCAGTAACTGATGGAAGCAGATGCAGAGATCCATAGACAAGCACTGGGCCAAACTCTCAGAGTCCAGTCAGAGAGGGAGGAGCAATAATATGAGCAAAGGGGTGAAGACCATGATGGGGAAACCCACAAAAACAGCTGACTTGAGCTAGTGGGAGTTCACTGACACGGGACTGACAGTAGGGGAACCTGCATAGGACCGACTAGGCTCTCTGAATGTGGGTGACAGTTGTGTGGCTTGGGCAGTTTATGGGGCCATGGGCAGTAGGAACAGGATTTATCCCTAGTGCATGAGCTGGCTTTTTGGAGCGCATTTCCTATGGTGGGATGCCTTGCTCAGCCTTGATGCAAGTGGTCCTGCTTCAGCTCAATGTGCCAGGCGTTGTTGACTCCCCAGGGGAAGCCTTATCCTTTCAGAGGAGTGGATTGAGGGTAGGTTGGAGGGAAGGCGGGGGAAGTGGGAAGAGGGGAGGGAGGGGGAACTGGGATTGGTTTAAAAAAAAAAATTGGCATTGCTTATAGCTTTGCCTAAGCCTGCTAGGGAAGGGCTTGAAGTTATGCCTCCACTGTTAGACAGTCATTCAGACCAGAGCCAGAATGTTAATAGTACAGCTACCTGTGGTGCTGCTGGCCTCTGAGGCTTTGTATTCTTTTGCAAGCCATCTGATACCTACTTGACAGACTGTTCCTTTCAATACTTTTTTTCCTTTTTCTCTTTTCTTCTCTCCTCCTGACCACAGCCTCCCCTCTCCCACAGATCCATTTCTCCTTCACTTCCCTTCAGAAAGGAGCTGGCCTCTCAGGGATATCAACCGAGCATGGCATTACAAGATGAAATAAGACTAGGGACAAACCCAGTAGGAGGAAAGGGTCCTGAGTGCAGGCAAATGAGTCAGAGACACCCACTCTCCCACTGTTTGGAGTCTCACAAAAACCCCAGGCCAAACAACCACAGCATGTATGCAGAGGACCTAGCACAGATCCACACGGCCTCTGTGAATGCTGCTTCAGTCTCTGTGCACCCCAATGAGCCCTGCTTAGTTGATTCTGTGGGTCTTTCAATACTTTTCTGACCTTTTTAAAAAATTATTCAGTCACTGCATTTGAAAAGTTCTCAGTTTGTGAATCTTTCTTTCTCTGTTTTTTAAAAATAATTTATTGTTACTTTATATGCATTGGTGTTTTGCCTGCATGTGTATCTATGTGAGGGTGTTAAATCCCCTGGACCTGAAGTTACAGACAGTTGTGAGCTGTTATGTGGGTACTGACAATTGAACCCAGGTCCTCTGGAAGAACAGTTGATCAGTCCACCCCACCCCCCTTTAAGCTTTTAAAAAGAGTCATTTATTTCATGAGCGCCTGCATTTATGTATGTGCATTATGTGTGTGCCTGGTGCCCTTGGTAGAGGGTGTTGGATCTCCTGGAACTGGAGTTCCTCGTAGTTATCACCCACCGTGTGTGTGTGTGTGTGTGTGTGTGTGTGTGTGTGTGTGT